GCTCAAAAAAGAAAGGATAGCTGGGTTTCTTGATTTAATGGATGGCAGATTTTGGCCTAGGCAAAATATATGTATGTGTCTTTGAATTAAAAAAAATAATTCCTTATAGAGATTTACTGGGAAGATACCTCTGTGAAGATTTTCACTCAAGTTATTAGCATTTCAATCTCATCAATGAACTCTTTGCCCAGGTTAGGTGGTTGGGGTTATAGCTCTTAAGAGAAAAATGATAAATCCAGAGATAATGGCTTGCCAATGGAGGGATTAGTGTAATTTATTAAGAGGAGAAAATAAGATTTGAAAAATGTAATGGCTATGAAATATCATTACTAGAAACAGCTTAAGAGTACCATGATGTTAACCTTCAACCATCTTATTTTTTCAAACTCCTGTAGTCTCATATTCTCCCTATTATAGTAGCATGGCACTTCGATTACGACAAAGAAAAATGGTACTTGGAAATCAGACCTGACAGAGCATCACATTCTCCCAGGGGCATTTTTGTAGACAATGCTTATTTAATTTTGATTGCAGTGCTGTTTTGTGGCACATCTCATTTTGATAAATGGTTGTTAAAAATTTGTGTGAATACCTCGAGAATTTTAAATGGGATTGATAACATTTGGAAACCAACAGAGGAATAAAGAAAAAGAGGAACTAATGGTGGGAGAAAAGGGAGAGAGCACATTGATACTAACGGCAGTCACCTCCACAGTAAATACCAGTTTTCTTTTTTAGGTGTATTTCTCTGCAGAATCGTCATGCATTGGCAGCACTCACGATGCAACGGGCACCCAACATGGAGCGCCAGACAGCACCGTCAGTGGTCTTGGCTTTCAAATTCCTGCTCTGTTGGTGGCTTTTGATCTTAGCCAAGTCACTAGTCTTGTTGGGCCTCCATCTCCTCATCTGTAAAATGGGCAAAGATTCCTTCCAACTCAAAAATCCTGTGATCCGTGATGTGATTTGTGGGACTAAATTCTCTGCATGGAATAATGCCAGGGGTGGAACTGACATTTCCTACGGTGGACAGGTGCCCCTCACCTGTTTCCAGTGAATACTGCCCTTCTCCTTGGTAACCCACAGGTGGCGCCTTCTGGGCAGTCAGCCCTGGCCCCTGGTCCATAAAGTGTTAGCTGGTATGTTTCATTCTCCACTTTCCCTCGTTTTCTATGCAGTAGTTAAACCCTTCAGAAGTTCTCTTCTTTAAGAAAAACTTATCGGGATAGAAAAGAAAAAACAAAACCCAGAGATGGAAGGGGAACTCACAGATTAAGAGGCTTACAGAGCTCAACCAATCACAGTGTGTTAACCTTATTTGGATCCTGATTCAAACAAGCTGATTGGACACAAAAAAAATTATGACATTTGAGAGACAATTGGAAATTTGAACACGCGGCACATATTGGATCTGAAGACATTATTGGTCATTATTTTAGGTGTCACAATGGTATCATAGCTACATTTTTAAAAGAGTCCTTATCTTTTAGAGACACGCTGAAACATTTGCAGATGGGATGGTAGGATGCTGTGGGCCATTAGTGAGTGGGATGCAGAGAAACAAGTTTTGTCATGAATTGGCAATATTGGAAGGGAACGACGGGGACACAGGTTAATAATGATACCATTTGGTTTGTTTTTGTGTAAGTTCTATAGGCTCCATAATAAAAAGCGTAAAACCCCCCAAAGACTCAACGGGGATTAATCCTAACGAGGCACGTTTGCCGAGGTGTTGGAAAGGGCTGCCTGTCACAGTTGCATAAGCGTTGGGGGTAAATGTGGAAGTTCATCAATCAGCAAGGCTGTCGTGGGAGCTGACTGGCAGCAAGCCCAGTGCCGTGTGGCTGTCATCTCGCCTCGAGGCCCATTTGCCCTCTATAAATAACGGTCTATATGAATGCTTTACTATTTTAACACACATTTGCTACAGCTGCTGAGCATGTTTGTTTACGTAGCTACGAAACCTTCTGTAAACATCACTATCTCAAAATTGCCCATGTGTCAGGAACATAAACGGCCCCCTTTAAAAATATATTTGCAGATGAGACACGGCCAACTCCTAGATGTCTGGGTGGCTGGTGTCAGAATTTTCCAGGGTTTGATTCATTTTCAAAAATAGAACCACATGACTGGAAGGTTCTTGAAAGGTCACCTGGCACATCCCTCTGACTTCAGGCAGGACCAGGCCGGAGCCATCCGTGAAGGATGCGGGCCTGTTCTTTATGGGTGTGAGCCCATCTCCCGTCAGATCCCTCAGACAGGGAGGATGGGCTCCCTTCCTGCCTTTAAGGGGCCCACTTCCGTGATCTAAAAGTGGGGCGGACTCTGCGGTACAGCTGGCGTCAGAGTACGGGGCCTCCACGGAGCGCCCCCCAGCCTGTGCGGGCCTGAGCTCCCAGCGGACCGAAGGGACCAGGTGGCCAGCTGCCTGCAGGACAACTCAGGACTCCGGAAAACACCATATTGGGATCACCATGTGCTCGCGACGTGCATGCTAGCGAGAGGGCACTGCGTCAAGGTTGCTGTGTGGCGCTCATCCTTGAAAGAGGCCTGCCGATCGAGACCGCCCAACACAGTAGTTTAAGGTCAACCGAGACGTTTCTGAAAGAAGTAATGAGCGCAGTGGAAGCTGTTTTGCGTCAGCTTGCTGTTTCCACTGCTCTTCCCCGTCCAGCGCTACCATGAATAATTAGATTCTGGTGAATTTGTTTTCCTCTGTGCATTTGGTCCGCATGTTTTTTCCCTGTGGGTTTGATACATTGAAGCATTTTTTTCCACCCAAGGGTCTGTTTAATGTCCATAAAACCCAATTGTGCTTTTCATTCACAAAGAAAACGTATCCCGCCGAAGCTTAAGAGAGAGTTTTGCTAGAGGTACTGAGTTATACAAATCCCACGAGGAAAAGACCAAGACATGTCCAGCTGCCAGACACCTCTAGAACTTTCTAGAACACTCTCCCCCACTTTCCAGAATTAGAAAACTTTTTTTGGGGGGAAATTAATAGTAGTTGCCTTTTCCCAGGAGTAGGGATGAGAGTTTTGATTGTTTTTGCTGGTAGTTACCCGGTTTTCTCTAAGAAAGCCATGGAAAGGCTGCGGAGTGCTCAGAGCCAAGTATCATTGTTAATTACTGAGAAAACGATGTTTCTCCCTTTGGAAAGTCTCACTCATCACGAGCTGTCATCAGAAAGACGGGGTCTGCCAGGGGGAGAATTCACGAAGATAATTTGCTTGTGCCAGATTCATTTATTTTTTGAGATTGGGCTTTGGTTTGAGGGAATGCAAAGGTTAGCTCGTGCAATTTGAAGATCAGATTAGCATCAGCAACCAGAGGGTACCTGCCCAGTGTTTTTTGCTTCTTGAGCTCAGAGACACAACACCGCCCTCCCTCATGTCCTATTGGGGAAATTTACAGTGAGAATCCGATATAAAAACTGCATGGTGAGTGGTCAGTTTATCCTGCCAGAGGCTGCAGCTCAGCGGCCACCGCTAGGGGGAGCCAGAGTCCCTGTGCTCAGCGGAGGCTGGCGAGTTTCTGGTGTGGGAAAGTGGCAGAGCTCCCTGCTGGAATCGTCATCCACCCCTCCCCCTGTCCTCCACGCAACTATTGCCTCTCAAGTAAACCCCCAGATCAGGCTCAGGGTACAGATAGCCCTATTAACATCAGCGCTTATTTTGCATTTCACAGTAGTTATTTTGTTATTCTTTAAAGCCAGTGTCCGGATGAGTCCCTGTTCGTTTCGTTCCGTGTGGAGAGCACTCACGTCACTGAGCGCCATGCAAATCCCTTTGCTCACATTTTCATTGTTTGCCACATTTAGGCAACTATTGCAAAGTTTACACCCCACCCCAAGAGAAACTTCTTGCAGGCTGTGAGGTACGGGGAGGTAGCAACATGGGACCAATGACTTTCCTCTGAAAGGGACAGTCTGGGTTAGGTCACCTGCTACAGGTTGATGAAGAACCTGGGGCCAGCCTGCCAGTCATACATTTTCAGATAACAGAAACCAACCCCGAGCCTCAAGTTGAAGACTTACAAAGGCACAGAAGGACAGACTGTATCTTGAAAGAGGACAGCAAGGCTGATATCAATAACTCAGAAGAACAGTGAAGGAATCACTGACTTAGGGCTCTAGTTTACACATTTCCTGTGAGGCACTGGGATAGCCTGAGTCAGAGTTGATGCTCTCTGGGGGACGTTGCAGATAACTATGGGCAGAAGCTGCTTTGCTGTTGGGATGTGTAACATCCAAAGTTCAGACATGAGTGCAGACTTCAATAAAAACAGACCATTTCCTCCATTTTGAGAACAGGTCATCTTCCCTAAAACACACCAATGATTAGCCAGTAACAGCAGAGGGGCAGAAGAGTCGATGGGATTAAGATGAATGGATCTGCAATTTTCTTCTTTTCTGCTAGAGTTATTTATGGGTTTGCAGCATTATGTCTACTGGGGGTTTGGGAGGTTGAATGTGGAGAGATGCCAGGAGCTCATGTGATACCGAAAAAAAAAAAAACCAAAAAAAAACACCCAATGCTATGGGTCTTGCAAATGGCTCCCAGCGAATGGGTGAAATTGCATTTTTATTAAAGCAGTTTGTCAGGCTTCCTTTGAAAGGCTTGACTTCTCCCTCTTAACTTGATAATAAATAACCTCAAGTATTTAAATTAGCAATGTTTAAAGCCATTTAAAAAGTGCTTTAGAGACAGATCAAATTTTAATTTAAGTAAATATTTGGAAATTTAAAATATATTATGTGGTGATTTTTCATTGTTTATTAATTTATTTTCCAAAAGGCTTTTAAAAACTAAATGGTTAGACTTCTTGGTGGATATACTTGAGGTTATAGGACACATAGGCATACTATTTCACGAAGCAAGGGGATTTTGTCCATAGTGAGTGAGGTTCCGTACTCTCTAGCTTGTAGTAAATAAGGATGTCAGGTCTAGTTTAAAACGAGCGTCTACCCCAGAGAAGTCCCAGGATGGAGCACGTCTTACCTGTGGCTTCCACCATTCCTTCTAGGATGACCACAATTTCCAGTTCCTCTTTGGGCAGCTGGGCTTTGGAGATCTCCCAGAAAGGACTCTGTTGGTTAATTTCGTGGCTAATGATCAGCGGTGACACCAGAAACAGACGGTCATCCCCAGTGTAATACCCTACGTTGATATCCGTCTGGTTCAGGGGGATGAACTCCCCCTCTGAAGTCTGTTTGGATTTGATCAACTTGGCTCTGATGGAAGCCTCCACGATGTGGGAATTCCTAAGGTCCCCTACCCGGAACATCAGGCACAGTTTCCCATCCCGCATGGAGATCACCGCATGGGTGGAAAAGACCAGGGTCTCTGCCCTCTTCTTGGGCTGAGATATTTTCACAAACATGCATCCCACCATGAATGCATTGACAATGGACCCCAGCACAGACTGGATTAGGAGGAGAATAATTCCCTCCGGGCACTTATCTGTGATGACCCGGTAGCCATAACCGATGGTGGTTTCTGTCTCTATGGAGAATAAAAAAGCAGAGACGAACCCGTTAAGGTTGGTGACACAGGGAGTCCAGGAGGGGTCCTCTATGTGGTCCATATCCCCTCGGATGTATGCAATTAACCACCAGATCATTCCAAAAAAGAGCCACGTCACTGTGTAAACCATGACGAAGATCAACAGGTTGAATCTCCACTTTAGGTCTACTAGGGTGGTGAAGATGTCGGTCAGGTAGCGGTAGGTCTCCCTCACGTTGCCGTGGTGGACGTTGCACTTTCCGTCTTTCCTCACGTACCTCTGGATTTTCCTTTTGGTCCGGTCTCGGCTGATGTGTCTCGGCAGGTCGTCCCTGGCCTGCTTAGGCAACTTGGGCTGGTGAATGGCCACAGGGCTCTCGACATCCTGATCCATGGAGTCGCCCTCCAGGACGTTAGCTGGTGGTTTGGAGAAAAGAAAAGAAAACCAGATGAGATGCTGGGTCTTTGAGGATAGTGGAACCACACGCTTTGTATAGGGTAGTAAAACCAAATACCATTTGCGTAGCTATAAACAAAGTAGACAAAGCCATTTTTACGTGGTGCCATCTGGGGAGGCCTCCGGTTGACTTGGACTTCTGTGCTCTTCGATCGAGCTTGTGTGAGTGCTTCACCACCCTGCCTGCCAGGAAGGAGCTAATTGCTGCAAAATCGTCCCCTGCCAGCAAATTCTACTGAGTCAGCTCTTACAGAAGGATGTCTCCCCACTGTATCTGAGTTGTTGTGGCGCGGGAGAGGCAGGGAGCTCTGAATAAAGGAGACATCTTTGGATTTGGACGGTTTTGGTCCTACCACTGAATAACTGAGGGCTCTTGGGTTGCTATCTGTTATGGACTGAACTGTGTTCCCCCAAAATCCGTATGTTGAAGACCCAACCCCCGCTGTGACTGTATTTGGAGATAAGGCCCTTAAGGAGATAATTAAAGGTTAAATGAGGTCATAAGAGTGGGCTCCTAATCTAATAGGACTGGCGTCCTTATAGAAGAGGAAGGGACACCAGGCATATGCGCATGAGCAGAGGAGAGACCACGTGAGGACACAGTGAGAAGGCGGCCGTCTGCAAGCCAAGGAGAGAGGCCTCACCAGAAACCAACCCTGCAGACTCCGTGATCTCAGACCACCAACCTCCAGAACTGGGAGAAAATGAACTTCTAAAGTTTGAGGCCCCCAGTCTGTGATATTCTGCTATGGCAGTCTGAACTGAGTAATCCACTACCCAAATTCCTGAGCCTCAGTTTCCTCATTTACAAAATGATCGTGATACCAACTCACAGGGTTGTCACAAGGTTAAACAAAACCACATATGTGATATATGCCCACAGGAAACAGCCATGCATAAATATTTCTTTGTAATAAATTGTTCCCTTGTTACTCTCCTCATATTTAGGGCATGAATTTTGAACAAGCCCTTTACATTATTCATCAAATTTCAGGATTTTAAAAAAAAATTTCTGGTGTCTGTTGCTAAGTGTGCATTCATTGGATTCTAATGGTAGATTCAACGACAAGGTTTAAGAAAGTGGGAGGAAACGTTCTCTCTGTTTCTGTGTGTTTACATATTTGATTTGGCTTCTGCCCCAACATTTAACGTCTGTAGTTTTGGCCTGTGGTTATTGTCTTTCTTGTGGCCTTCATGATTAATGCATTGGTATACTCATTAGTCAGCAATGCACTAGGAGAGCTCTCCTAAACAATGAGCGTGAAAAGAACTTTGGAACTGATTCTGCTATTAAAGGCATATGAACCACTGTATGAAATTATTGTTCAGCCAGTAATTTTAAAGTTTTCTAAAAGTTTTACAAGAAGTGTCTTCCTCGAAGCTTCCATTCTGTGTCCTTTGACTCTGCCACGCATTTCGTCTGTGGTCAATATGTTTTTCCCTTGGTTAAAGGAGAAATGCAATCTGTTGAGAAAACATCATTTATCTGAACAAGGCTGGGTGTGATGGCTCCTGCCTGTAATCCCAGAGCTTTGGGAGGCTGAGGTGGGAGGATCGCTTGAGGCCAGGAGTTTGAGATCAGCCTGGGCAACATAGCAAGACCCCTCTGAAGAAAAAAATCGTTTATCTGGATAAGAAAATAGCAGGCGATGGGACATGAGGGCTACCAACTTAACTTCTGGAACAAACTTGCTCATGGTTGGTTAGTTGCCTTAAAAATCAATCCCATAGATGTGTGTTTATGTTTCAGCCCAAGGAAGAGACAGCATGTGGGCTGCAGAACCTGCTCTTTGGTTTGACAGCTTTGACTCTCAGGTCATTGTCCTCAATGGCCCTTCATTTGTAAGTCAGAAAACTTACTTTTCCCCCTTCCTAGGACAGATCCCAGGACAGGAGTTGAAGAGAGAGGTGCTGAGGTGGGGGCGGCTGGAGGCAGGTGGGGTACCTGAAGGAGGGCAGAGGAGATGTCCCGGTCACTGCCAGCAACCCCCGCATAGCAGATGCTCTTGGCCTCGAATGGTCAAGGTCAAGCTCTCACTGCTACTTTTGCCCTGAGTGCGCGTCTCTAAATGTGAGTTCACGTGGGGTGATATCTGGGCTCAAACTCTGCCTGGCTGGGGAGACCCTGTCTGCAGAGCCCTGCACAGGCACCAGCAGGCCTGGCGTTGTTCCTGCCGTGACCTGGCGGGGGTTGTCTGACTGTGCAAAGCCACCCTGAGCCCATGTCTCTCTGAGGCCTTAAGTGGAGGAACAGGGTTTATCAAATTAGCTGAGTCTTGAGTCTTCAGTGCTATTTTACACTTCAAAAGTGTTATGGAGGAAATCTGTCCCTGCCTCCCCTCCATGCCAGCTTGTAGCCACTTTCACGCTTTTCCTGGCTCAGCTGCAATTGTCAGGCTCCAGGCATTAGCCCTAAACTGGAAGGACCTGCCGGCAAGGTTAAGGAATGAGTAGTGGTAAGTGCTCCGGCGGTCTGCGGTCTGCGGGACTGTCTGCTGATCCCCCAAATCTGGCTCCTCCCCCAGACTCGGCCACACACTCTTTGCACTGAGGGGGGCTGCAGTGACAGATTCCTGGCCTGTCTGGAGTGGGACGTGCCTGTCTGGGTCAGGGTCTTAAATAGTCAACGTGCCCCTCCTCATGCCTTTGCCCCCTGCCCAAGGATTCTGAAGTCAAGAGGGGCAGGGGCCTGGGTCCTGAGTCAGCATGGAGAGCCACCATCTGTCTAGAAACAAGACAAAAATGATTGTGTTTGAACGGTTATACATTTTGTGTCTATTGTCAAATTAAAGTTCATCTCAATTTTTATGGGCAGAAATATATGACACCCAGAAGCAGACAGAAGAGTAATCAGGGGACTGGCTATGGGGACGAGCGAAGGGAGACCAGGGGAAGTTGAAGGTGTTTGGGTTTGGTGTTCGTAATGAATTAGCCCGTGGTTAATTGAATGCTGGTGTTTGGTGTTAGGGGAAAAATGGAAGTGCAAATGCTACTTCAGTGCTTTTAAAGATAAACAAAAATTTAAAAATGAAGAAAGCCAGGCCCCCGGCAGGGGAGGCCCTGGGTGCAGGCCAGGTGCCTCCCCAGGAAAATGGGGAGGGAAGGCTGGGCTTGTGGGAGGGACAGGCACGGTGTTGGAGAAACCAAACAAGCCACGGCAACCTGAGCGCTGGGAGAATAGAAGACACTGAGGTAGAAGCTCCAGGGGCCGGGAAGGGCACAGTCAGGGAGCCGGAGAGGGTGTGGGGTGGGCAGGGTTTGTGGCAGGGGCAGAAGAGGGGCAGAGCCTCATGTCTGTGTCCAGAGTGGCGGCAGGGAAAGTGGGACAAGGGGACAAGGCCACTCCAGGTCTGAGTGGTGAGCAGTGCCTCGGTGCCCCACCACCACCCGTGTGGATGCGTGCGGGGGAGTGCGGAAGGGAACGCTAACGTGCCTTTTAGCATTTCTTTCTTTCCTGGAATCCCAGGTGCGATTGGAGCAGGGACCTGAGCTGCGGTCCCCGTAGGGAAGTTGCAGCTGTGGTTGGGGAATCGGACATTGCTCCAATGTTCCTGCACAGCCCACGACACCAGCAAGTCCTCACCACCAGGGATAACACAGGGCGGAGGACGCCCTCTGCCTGCCGGAAGTTTGCACGAACGTGCAGAAGGACAGAGGAATGGCGCCCGGGAGTTTAATGATTTACTTGACCTGAGAGCTGCTCTTCTGGCTTTTGCCTCAGAGCCAAGGCAGACCTATGCGAAGGTCAGGCTTTATTTTTTTCCTCTTTCTCTTTTATTTCTTTCTCTTTCTGTTTTAGACAAATGATCAGTTTACACACAACTTAAGGTGCAAAGTAGCCTAGTGTTGCAATTTAACCTGAAACGACAGAACCACAGCGGGAAGCGGCCCGTCCCCACCGGAGTGGAGTCGCGTGGTCACTTTTCAGGTACAGCTCCGCTCCTGCTGCAGGGAAGCCTGCCCTGGTCTGCAGTAGATGTTTCCGGATGGAAAATTCTTACGTTTCAAGTTATATATGAATCTTATGGGTGACACCTCCAGTACCTAAGACAACATTCAAAAAGTACTTCGAGACGTTTTAATGTTCTGGGGAAAACCTAACTGAGGAAAACATGGTACCTCTCACGCGCATGTGCAAAATTAAAGATTGGAAGGAATTGAAAAAAAATACACTAAGATGTTAATAAGGCAATTCCGAGTGTGTGTGTGTGTGTGTGTGTGTGTGTGTGGGGGGGGGGGTTATGGGTGCTTTTAATTTTCTTGTTAAACATTCTGATTTTTCCAAATTTTCTAGAATGAACTTACATTACTTTTATAACCAGAAAAAACTCCAGGAATTTTCAAATAACGCATTGAGAAAGAACACTCTTCTGACATCTGATTTAAGAAATTTATCAGACGAAGAGAGAAATAACTATAAAGCACCTGACCTGAAGGTGTCCCATCCCATGCATCTGGCCATTTAGAAACTGAGACACTTGCTTGACCCGAATCCAAGAAAATCATAGCTAAACTCCACAGGGTCCTCACTGGGGGTCTTACCAGAAAGGAACAGTGAGAAACACGACGCATTCAAGTGTGAGGCCACGTGAGGGGCAGGGCCTAGAGGACAAACTGAGTCTGCTGTCCCTGTGACAGGCCCAGGGGACCTTGCAAGAGGAGGGAGCCTGGGAGGCCCGGGTGCCTGGAGGGGCTGCTCCAGTGAGCTGCGGGACAGAGGCACACCCCCTGTCGGGTTCAATCAAGTTTCAGTTGTTTGGGCAGTGCCCTCAGTGACGCAGAAGCATGGTCTCTTCCTCGTCAAAAATCACCTACAACCCACAGAATGGGAGAAAATGTTTCCTAATCATACATCTGAGAAAGGATTAATATCCAGAATATGTAAAGAACTCCCACAACTTAACAATAACCCAACAACACATTCAGAAGTGGGCAAAGGACTTGAATAGACATTTCTCCA